TTGACACGGACTTTATTATGTTAATTCTTTCATTCTCTTTTGAGTATACATGCACGTGTGCGCTCACCCTATGACAAGGTGGGGTCTTCAGACCCACTTGTCTTGTACTCTAATGTGTGTGTGTGACTTAGGAAAGGAATAAATAGGTCAAAGGAGGCGATTTCGAACTGGTTATAAGTCCGGAGGGCATTCCAACGTGATCTAAGAGGGCTCCCACACAAGTTAGCTTGAGTGCGTCACGGACCCAAGTAAGGTAAGTCCCACCTCACACCTTAATTCCTCTCTTACCAGTTAGTATTCCTGCCCCGTGTCTTCCTGACATGGTTCACAAGAGAGCGGTCTCAGGTCCCAGGTCCGTCTCATACCTGGAGCCACGCCACTAGTTCATCTCGACCTGAAGGTGAGATCAAGGCATCTAACCAGTAACCTCTCCTAAAGAAAGAAAGAAAATAAAGAAATAATGAAATAAAAATATAATGAAAGGAGTATATGAGTTACAGAGAGGGAGATATTTAGATTGAGCAAGAAGTGAGAGAAGAAAGAGAAAGAAGAGAGAGAGTGGACCTAAGCCAGCTTGGATTTATGCGCACCTTAGAGGATTCCTTTTGAGTGCTCCTTAGAAAGATGCCTTGACTTTTGAGGTTAAGGTTGGGGTCTAGGTTTAAGATGAATGAACCTAAGTGGCTTAGGGTAGTGTATAAGATAGGATGTATGGTGATCTAAGGTGAGGTGTGTGGTGTAAAGAGTAGGAAGTTTGAGGTTCTAAGTAGTAGGAAGTTTGAGGTTCAAGGGAGTTGGAAGTTGGAAGTGGGAGGTTTGGAAGTTGGGAATTGGAAGTGGGAGGTTTCGAAGTTGGGAGTTAGAAGTGGGAAGTCATTATCATTTGTATTTACTACTCAATCATTACTCACTCACTCCTTAGTTCACCTACTCCCGAAGTAGACACCCTATTCATCAGGCCAAGTCAATCTTATTGTTTAGGACCTCTACCATTCCTCAAGAGGGAGGGCAATGACAAGTGGGGAAATCCACTTCGTAATGCCCTCATACTCACGCACACAGTTCCCAGCACGCTTTAAGGTCTTCGATAGGCACTTGCCTTGCAAAGCATTACTCACTATTCTCATCATATGAATTTCGGGGGGGTGCGACCCTCCATTTCCACTTTTACCTAACTCCATCCTATCATTTAGCGAGTTAAGAAACATTGTCGGCATCACTTTTCTCAGTGTAACAGTACCCACTATCGATGGGTATCCCATCGCATAGTGGGCAGTATCAATATAACAGTATCTACTACCGATGGGTGTCTTATCGTGCAGTGGTCAATATCACAATATCATAACAGAATAATACCCACTACCAATGGGTGTACCATTGCATAGTGGTTATTATCACAGCATCTTAACATGCTCAAGCATTAAATTCACTTATACTTAGAGCTATCACATAGCACTTGTCATGTAACATTTGTTATGAAACTATCACATAGCATTGCACTTATCAATTTTCACATATCGCATAGTTGCATAGCATCGTTCACATAACACTATGGCATTCATTATTCATCACATGAAAATATTCACATAGCACTCACGCTTATCAATTATCAATGATAACACTTTGCCATTTAAGTTGACCAGTGAGTAGTCCAGTAAAAGATAACACAGTAGTCCAGTAAAAGATAACACAAGACGAACACATAACTAAATCTTCTTCGACGAGTAATGGTGACGTACCCCTCTTCTCGGATACGTAACTCCCAATCTAGGAAGAATTTCACAATAGTTCCAACATACAATTTTAGACTTATACATGGATCTTTAAAATGGCGATGGTTTGAAGGTGTTTAGATGACTTTTGATAGATCAAAAGCTCGGCAAAAAGTAAGTGATAATTGCTGGAATTTCCTGCAACTGTGAACAGTGATATACCTTCACATTTTGGGACATAACTCTCAATCTACGGGGAATTTCCAAATGAGTTCAACGTACAACTTTATGCTCATTCATAGATATTTCAAATGGTAGTGGTTTGAAGGCGTTTGGACATCTTTTGATAGGCCAAAAGCTCGGCGCAAAATAAGTGACAGTTGCTGAAAATCTCAGCAACTGTGGACAGTGACATATCCTTATATTTTAAGGCATATCACTTAACCTATATGAAATGTTAATATAGTGTGAAAGGAAAAATTGAAATAGATGAGCATATTTTTCATTCAAAACCAGTTTAGGCCCATTTGGACACCATTTGGCCATTGGAAAACTCGTTAAACAAACAGTCACAGTTCTGGAAATTCTCACTCTCAAGTTTAACATGCTTTAAAGAGCACTTAACATTTCACAAATCAAGATAACTCTTGATGTAAAGCCTTGTCCATATTAAACTAGTCTCACAAATGAACTATTTCATAATTTTTCACGACTAAAAATACCATTTCTATTGCTCAATCAATCATAGTATTTGGAGGCACAAATCTGGGATTTGAATCTCATTTTAACCCATTCACACTCATAATTTTCATCCCATCATATTATCCACACTCAATACTTAAAAATTGATTTCTACAAAATTCGTTGATGCATAGATGCTAAACCTACTTATCTGATGCTCACGATGTCTTCGAACCTCCCACTCGTGGGCCTCCCCAATCCAAGCAAAGGCTTCTCCAAGGGCAGCAGTTCACTCTCACTTTGCTTCTTAGAGAGAGAGAGAATATGAGGCAAGTGAGGGAAACGGCATTGAAAGGGAAGGGGAGAGGGCTTAAGTACCTACAGTAAGTGGGATCCACTGTTGCTGACTGGGTAGGTGAAGGTCACTATAGCTGACATGTACGGCACTGACAGGTGCGGTGCTGACACGTACGGTACTGACAAGTGCGGCTCTGGTAGCAGTCACATCTTCCCTTTTCACTCACGACGCTACACACGCACGGCGCTGCCTTCTCTTCTCGCGTGGCGTTATCTCTTTCTGGCCTTCACGCACGGTGTTAGTCCTTTACACACGCAGCATTACTCCATTTCACACACAACGTTACTGCATTTCACACACGGTTTTACCCCTCATTCTCGCGCAGCTATACTCCGTACACGCGCGGCGATACCTCTTTACACACACAGTGTTACTCATCTCCTCTCTCTTCTACACACACGGCATTAGGCCTCTTCTACACACACGACGCTAGGCCCCTTCTACTACACTATTGTTGTGCGCGTCTTATGACTAGAAAAATTTGTGGGCCTTACAAGATGTCATTTTTTAAGATTCATGTTTCTAACACTCGTATCCGTGTCATAAATAGATACCATGTAACTCCTATCTTTATTCACCTTCAAATGCATTGGGAGTTTTGACAAGATGTCACATAGCTGTTAAAACTCCCATTAATATTAATTAGGTCGCTAAAGACCTAATATTTATATATGTGTGCATCTTTCTATGTCAATACCATGATATTATTAACTAAATATGTTTGCACTTATAATAATTGGATATCTTGAATAAAAAAGTCTGAAAGGCCACAATTTCCAACAATTGAAATGATTAAGTTTTTAAAAGGGAGAATGACTTTTATGAAATTTAAATGGAAAATTGTTTCATGCGGGCTGGACCACATTACTACAATGTGGTTCTAAAGTATAAAGCATCCATTTTAAAGATGTATGCAAATAAATGATCCATCTAAAAACAATCCAAACTAATTGTCCAAATGTTTTCTTAATAGAATTATTATTGATCTTCATGTTAGAGATTACATTTCCTTAAAAAATCAAGTCCAAAAATCCATTTCAAAAATAGATTTTTAAGATGTGACTCATCGAAACCGTGTCCAATTTAAATTAAATTCGTAGACTCATCTCACTTTTTCATTTTTATTTGCGTAAATAGTACCCCATCTCACCTGGCTTAAGACAATGGGCAAACTGCCGAGTCTTGACTGATAATGCCACGATCTCTTTATCCTGGTTCCTTCAAAATTTATTCTCTCTCATTTCTTTGGGATTTTTAACTCAGGCAAATGGCATTTTCATAGTGGTTGCTATTACAGTGGAGCAGTTGGGAATTGCTTGCATAAGCGATAACCCCTTTTGGAGAAATCTGAGATTTTTGCTGTTTGTTAGGATTGTTCTTGTATGATGCCTCTGCTTAGCCTAGCAATAGCATGAAAGCGGTTTGCTCAAGGAGTTGAAGAAGCAGACCCCTTTTTTCATAAAGGAAAAGTTCGAGTCACAGATTCAGTTCATTTACAAAGGATTTTTATTGAGGTCGTTTATTCTTTTGTACACACCTGCATAAAAGTAATCCTTAACATCCTATGTACATGAATTCCAATAACTACTCGATCTTCAGGTGTTAGTGCGCATGTGCATATCTCCTACAGTGACCATGTGCATATCTCCTACAGTGACTTTTCTCGGAGCTACTTTTTACAGCTTTTCGGTGCGCAAACATACAAGAAAGACAAGCCAATTCTTACGTAAAAACTAAAAAGTGAAAAAAAATAAAAGCATTGCGAATGGAGTTAAGATACTCCAACTAAGATCTAAGCTTTCATTCTCATATAACATACTAAATAAAACTAGTTCAAAAAATCAGGTAGGAGCTCATTATCCCCACTGAATTACTGAATAAAAAACACATAAATAAAATAAAAGCGTCATGGTTTTAATTAGCTCGTTCACGCAACCAAGGAGTTCTTGTGCATCAACCAATACACCTATTCAAATTGAATATGCCTTAAAAAATCAATCTTAGAGGCATCTCATCTACACGAATTTGAGAAAAAATGCATTTAAACCCGAAAGATTATTTTAAAATTTATTTTTGATCCCTTCATTTTATATCCTTCCAGACAGTTAGGTCTGCACTATTTATTAAGATGAAAAGTCATAGATAAAACAGAATAATGCATCTAAAGTGATTATGGATATGTTTGAGATCCTGAATGGGACCGTAAGCCAAAATATGCCAGCCATCCTCGTACTTATCCACGCACTTCACACTCCGAATTATTAATTTTCTTATTAAAGTAACCATTTCTGCAAATCCAGACCCAAGTACTCCAATTTTATGGAGCATGGGATGAATCATGTTAATATTTTACAAGCAAAATAAAACCATCAAATACCCCTACAAGTGAAAGGAATCCTGCAGTACATATCTACAATGCCAGTAGGGGAAGAGAGATGGATACAAGCCAATCGATAACAAGTTTTGAACTCCGAAATATAGCAGCTCAGCTATATGCTTGGTTGTGAGTTCCTAAGAAATGCAATCAAATTCTAACATTTCAATCTCAAACTAAATAGAAGATACATTACACGAGAAGAAAGAGAATCCTACCTCTTGACATGCGACATGAGGACCCAGCGGAAATCTAAATTATGGATGAGTCTAATTGGCTTTTTGGGCCCACTTACCCTTGACATGCAAAGCAGATTTACCAGAAACCTTTTTGTCAACCATTCAACTAGTTCAACTTCTGCAACTACCCTAATGAACGAGGAGTTGGACATTCCAATTGATTTTGCCACCAAAAATCCCTCATCCAACGGACTCATCCATGACATACAAATATCAGATAATATGACTTTGACGCGTATCCATCACAAGTCAAGAAGCCTCTGAGAGAAAAAATTCTTCTGGCACATAAAATTTTAAGCCGACAGCCTGAAACATAACCAAAAGACCAGAATGATCAGACATTGATGTTTTACACAAGCACAGCTCGTCACAGATCTGATGGATAACAATCACGCCTACCAGCAACTTCAAGTTAAACTGAAACATCAGAGCAGCCAACTTATCAAGGGAAAAGTCAAAGCAACTTCTGTATTTTCAAGATCATCTGAGCAAGGTGTAGTGCATTAGTCCTGTAACACACTGAAGGTGTCCTACTTTCTAAAACTTGCTCAAGGGAGTCATGAGTCCCATGTGAATAACGACTCGCTTAATCCCAGCCATATTTTCTTGTAGGTCTAACTGGAAGAAATTTAAGTCATGATTATGGTTTACTGAAATCCTTCAAGGGGCAAAAGAATACCCATGAATGCCAAATTCAAGCAATCTTAGGTATGTTATTTCATATTGTTCTTTTGGAGTTTCCTTACTAAAAACTAAAGGAAGCTAAAAAAAAATAATAAAGGCAATTTAAAGCCGACGAAAATTGATCTTGTTATGTTGACATCATTTTTAAAAAAGAAAATATCCCACAGTAATAAGAAAATTTGCATGGACATATTCAAAAAGAACTTTTTATTCATATTCAAAAAGAAAACTTGCATGGTCATACCAAACAAATGTGGAGTAATCTGAAGCAGGTTCAACCAAAGATCATCATTCTAGGTGCAAAATCATACCCATGAATGCCAGATTGAAGCGACCTTAGGTGTATTATTTCATATCATTCTTTTGGAGTTTTCTTACTAAAAATTTTTCAAATATGAAGCAATTTTAAGATAATGACGAAAATCGATCTTGTTAGGTTGACAATTTTTATTATAGGAAGAAATATAAAGTATCTCGTAGTAATAAGAAAAACTTCCACGGTCATAGAAAGGACCAAACAAATGTGAAACAATCTGAAGCCAGTTCAACCAAAGATCATCCTTCTAGGGGCAAAAGAATAGCCATGAATGCCAGATTGAAGCGACCTTAGGTATATTATTTTATATTATTCTTTTGGAACTTTCTTACTCAATTTTTCAAATATAAAACAATTTAAGTTAAATGATGAAAATCGATCTAGTTACGTTGACACAATTTTTATTATAGGGAGAAATATAAAAATTCAACAGTATAAAGAAAACTTGTACGGTCATAGAAAGGAGCGAACAAATGAGAAGCAATCTGAAGCCAGTTCAACCCAAGATCATCTAAATTAAGAACATGGCAAAGAGTATGTATTAAACAAAAATTGAAGGGATTTCACCAGACTTTTGTACCTTTAACATAAGGATCAGGAATGAGAGAGCAAATAACATTTTTAAAAAATCAATGGAAAAACATAGAAGATTTCACATAACAAATACAACCTTGGCAAATCTGATATCAGCATCACTATGATCACCTTTTCTCCCTGCTGCATCGCCAACATAAAAGGATCTACAAAAGGCAAGATAGTTCATCCTTTCCAGATTAAGGGAAACCCCAACATAAGACAAAATGCACAAGTGAATACAGTTTCATCACCACAAGATACACGACTGCAATAAGTGACATCTAAGGGCCAACTAAATGTATAGGTTGCATGAAACAAGAAAATATGGTTCCAAGCAGTGTTTGAAACCCAGATTGTGAAGCCCGATTGGTCACCTGCTAGATTGATGCAGATTGCCAATCCAGACCAGCTTAGATCGATTCTCTGGTATGAGAATTAGTCCAAACAAAAATTTAAATAATAATTTTCAATTTTAAAAATATAAAAATTAAAAAAGAATAATAAACCAATGAAATAGGTGGGACCAAGGGATTCAGCAATCCCGATTGCCCGGTTCCCTAATAGATTCGCCTAGGACTCTCACAGAACCATCAGAAGTGGGCGAGTCTATCAAAATTGGACCAATTTCAAGTCCCTTGTTTGTCTCCACAGATTCCCGATTAGGATCGTCAATTCAAGATCCGGATCAGCAATTTTTAAAACACTGATTCCATGAATAGTTTCATCATGGGAGGATACAGATATAACTGCAAGAAGGCTACAAGTATAAGCCAAAGTTTCAAACACATGTAGCCAAAGTTTCAAACACATGTATGGAAGCTTTTGGCATTATCGGGTCCATGATTGTTTCAGCCAAGGAAACGGTTCGGGTTGCACCAATGTAGGGCACTATTAAGCAAACTTTTGACGGATGTTCATGGGTAACATGGACCCAATAGTATGGGAGGGATTCTTAGGGATGAAGAGGGCAGGAAGGGCGAAAGCCATTCGGTCCCAGTAGGTATATATAATTTTACATTACCAGGAAGCTTACGCATTGCTTACGGGTCTCCCTTTCCATTTAAAGGATTGATTGGTAGCAGATGGGCATCATTTGAACGCTATAAGATGGGCCATTAAAGTGTCCTCTGTGCTTGGAGAGTAGCTATGATATTTGGTGAGATTTTCAATGTCTATGATGCTAAGGATGTGTGACCTTTGTGCACATTCTTAGAAGAGATAACCAAGAGACTGACACATTTGAATTTTCGTTGATGAAAAAAAATTATTGAATTTGAGGAAGTACATATGTACAGTAAAGGCTTCACTAATTAGATACTAATCAGAATCTGAAAAGTCCATTTCATAATAACTTAAGGTCTATGAATAGGAGAAAAGTCAGCATATCTGAATCTATTTCAAGTTTGGAATTTACCCAAAACATTGATTTAAGCTTGGCCAGAATTAAAATCATGCAAATTATTCAAACTTTACATCCTGCATAATGTTGGACAAAAGAACAAAGAAAGCAACTCTCCTGCAAAAGTAGAAACTCCATGCACCTAATATATGATTATGAGAAACGCCGACTCTCTGATTTTTGCTTCTCCAAATAACCAAATTTCCTTCTAATGGTACAATAGCCAGTTGTTATCGACGATCCACTAGGCAAACGGCTGAGTTAGCATATTTATAGCTGCATAAATCAATATAAAATTATGGTTGAACAAAATCCATTACTAGAATTACTTTAGAGGTATTTTAGGATGTGTTACTGCCTCTAAATGTGAAGATCGTGCAGCATGCATAAAATGGTGTAATGGTCAGATAAATGAGGACATTAACCAGCCTCTAGTACATTCCCATACCACTCAAGACTTCTCCTGAAGTTGCATCCAACTTCATATTAGGATCACATGGGTAACTAAGAGGTTTGACTGCTGCTTTACCAGTTTCCTATATTAGATCAAGAGTATACTTGCATTGTGAAATGATATCCCTTGCTTGGGATTTGCAATTTCTTAAGAGGCCCCGAATCCATGATGTAAAATTCCTGGTGAAGATGTGTCTTGAGAGAGGATATACTATCCATATCATCCTTTGTTACCACAATATCATCAACAAAAACAACAAGAAAATTCTTACCTTGAGTTTTCCTCTTTACAAAGAGGGACAGTTGGTATTGCTCATGTGAAACCCAATAACAACCATGGCCATTCTGAATCGATCAAAATACAATAGCGAGGATTGCTTAAGGCCATAAAGAGCGTTTTTAGCTGAAAGACCTTCTGAGAGGCCTCAAGAGAGCATAGCAAAGGCAGGCATCTCATATATACTTCCTCTTCAAAGTATCCAAGAAGAAAAGCATTTTTGACATCTGGTTGAAAGAGAGACCACCTCTACAGGCAACAACCGAAAGAAGAACCTCAACTATTTCTATCTTAGTAACGGGTGCGTGATAATCAACTCCACACTTTGTGGTCAAACATTTGGCTATAACTCGAGCCTTTTATCGTGCAATACTTCCATCAGCCTTAAACTTTAGCTTGACAAGCCATCAACTTCCTATTGCCTCCTTACTAGAGGGGAGATACACTAATTCCCGAGTACCATTTTCTTCCAAACCTTGGATTTCTTCCTCCATTGCCCTTGTCCAATTTGGTTCCTTTAAGGCTTTCTCAAAGTTGTGGGCTCCAAGACAGAACAGCGATATGAGGAAGGAGTGATACAAGAAACAATAGGGTGACAGAGCGATACAAGAAACAATAGGGTGACACTTTTTTCTTTTTCTGTATGGCAATTGGAAGATCCAAGTGAGATGGATTAGAGGTACCTCGAAAGGAAGGTTCCGTCTCAGTGGACTCATGAGGTCAGGTAATCGCGGAATCATCAATGGCTATGACATCCTCAACTAAGGAGTGCCTTGGTCTACTTGAATAGGTCAATATGGGCCTTTTGTAATCTCATGTTCATTTTACCGGGGTGTGGAAGAGGGCATTGTCTCTAGTTCTTCTAAGGTAGGTAAATCCAGGTCTGTGATGCTCCCCTAACAATCAACCAACGGTTTGGGATTCTCTTGAAAACAGCTGATGTTTTCCAGAAAGGTCACATGCCTTGACATATAGTGTTTCTTGCTCATTGGGTCATAGCACTTACCCTTTTTGAGTAAGCAAACAATCCCAGGAAAACACACTTCCATGTATCCTACTTGTCTCTAGTTGTTTCATCAAGGTGAATAAAACAAGTACATCGAAAGACATGCATATGAGAGAAAATGGGTATTGTCCCCGTTAATCTTTTGAAGGGACAACAGTGGTAAAGAATTGATGTGGGCAATCTCTCTTTATAACATAAACTGACACGGCAAGAGCAAAACACCAAAAAGTCTTAGCAACATGCTTGCATCGTCAAACTTCTCGTAGTTTCAACGATATGTCTATTTTTTATCTTTGAAATGCTGTTTTGTTGTGGTGTTGCAAGGCATGCGGTCTGATCCATTATCCCATTTTCGTGCAAATATTGTGTCATGTTCTGTTTGCATAGTCTATTCCATTACTGTTTCTAAATATTTTGATGTTGGCATTGAAATTGTGTAATGATCATTTTATAGAAAACCTGAAATATTTTTCTTGCGATAGACCCAAGTACGAGAACAATCACTAATGAAGGCAACAAACTATTGCGCAATAGTTATAGATTTAAGATGTGCAGGACCCCACACATCAGAGGTAATAAAAGAAAACAATTCTAAACAAGGCATCCTCTTTTCTTTTTTTTCATTTTTTTTTTGTTCTTTGTTTTTTGTGGGGTGTATGGGGGACCAGTGGGGATGATAGGCCCCTACCTATAAAGGGGTGCAACACAAGGACTTCCTAGGAGTTCATTCATCCTAGTACTACTATTGCCTAGCACGCTGAACTTCGGAGTTCTTATGGTCCAGTGCATTAATACTACTATGGCCGCACTTTATTATTAATAAAGACAAAACAACAATGTTATGAAAGTTGACAGGCTTCACATAAGGACGCCATATGTCTAAAAACGAAACAGAAGGCAAGAGATTCCCAAGGACTTGACTTGAGGGATGCCCTAAACGACATTCCAAAGATCTCCCTCTTTATTAATTGATACTAAAGCAGTTGTGCCTTGCCGAAGATGTAGAGACCATTGTCCTCATACCCCTCAATCATCTTCCAAGTCCTCAACCTCTGAAAGCCACAACAAGAGGGAGAAATTTTTACACTAAAATACAACTTGTTTAGTAATGTTGTTCAGATAGTAAATTACATGGGAAGGAAGGAACATGGAGCGCTCATGAAAGATTTAAAAGTAGGAGTGAGGGTTAACGGATCCTACACCCTCAACAGGTCCAAGTGGATGATCAGCACGGGTAACTATCTTAGAATCAATAGGATCATCTTGACTAAGGGCAAGTAAAGGGAGCTTACAAGCCATATGCTTCATTGCTGTAGAGTCAATTACTCAATTTGAAGATACAGCAAGGAGGGACTGATGGTTACCTATCTTGAGAGATACAGTTCTACTGCTAGAGGTTAAGTGGATTCTCATCTATAAAGGAGCGCAACAAGTTGATTGATCTTTTCCATAGTTATTGGAAATGCCGGAGGTTCTCAATAACTTTAGGAATCAGAATCGCGGATTCGTAGCTTGCTAAGAGATTTGTGTTTTAAGAATGGACGGATGTATGAGCGGAATCACGGGAAACGGGATTCCTACATTATAGGAATCGCGTTTCTACCCAAATGTAATCGATATCCCTACATACATGGAATCGAGATTCCGACCACTTTGGGGTCGAGTTTCCAACCTATTTGGAATCGACTCCAATGGAAACAAGATTTCTTCATGTATGGAATTGTGATTCCTACATCTTTGGAAACGAGTGTTTTATGTATTTGAAATCAAGATTCATAGCAGTTTGAAATTGAGTTTCGATCCACATGGCAATAGAGATTTGTAGCTCTATGGGGTTGACTTTCAACCCCTTTATAATCAAGATACCTAAATCAATGACATCTAACACATTAGAACCTCATCAAGCAATCAAGATCAGAGGTCTCTAAGACCTGAAGAAGGGTTCTGTAGATATTAAGTCAATGTGTTGAGTTATTGACTATTGATCCTCAAACACAATATCAAAAGCAAGGACAATTAATAAACACAC